TCCGTCAAACCCCTTTCAGAGCTTGATGAAACACAAACTGTGTCACAAGGCACCGCCGAAATTTCGGACCTTGTTTGCAGTACCAAACGAACTGCCTTGTCCTAGGCTAATGGAGTTTTAGATGGGACATATTCGTGCACCTGCTGTTGCGATTAGTCTGAGAAACTATTATTTCATTTGGCAATGCCCGAAACACTCTTTGGCGCTCGCTTCACTAATTGGCGATTCATATTCATTCTTCGCCTTGAACTTTGTAATGGTCGCGTTTAAAGAACCCATTCATGAAGCGCTTCCTACATTACTTTTTTTCTCATCGTTATGATCATTTACGCTCGCTATAACTCCAAGTAACTTAAAATAGCCCACTGCTGAGTATAAGCCATATTCAGCAATGGGATAAATTCCAATAGACATACTTTACATTCTATACAATAAAATTAAACAACGCTGTTTTGTTAAACGTCTCTCCCTTTTCTCAAATAAAATATTTGATACCTATCTGTCTTAATAAAAGATAATTATAGTTAGCGTTATGACATATCGTGAAGATCTACTAAATAATAAACCAGAAGTCCATAAAGATTGTTTTAAATGGCTGCGTTTTATTTTAATGGTAAAGTGCTTATGACTATATTATACCGACACATATATACATAACATTTATCATAATTTGGCATGGAAGTAGTGGGAACTAGATAATGTCGCGACATTTCCGCAGCACATGATTTGCATAATAACCGAACTACACAAATTGAAGATGATTTTGTACTATAATTTTATCAGCACAAGGTCGAAATTAAGCAAAATTATATCATAAATTGCACCTCACGTTGTATCAATTCTAATATGTAGATTGGAAGACCTTTGAATATATTACTTAACAAGAAATGTTTACAGGGAAAGCTGCCACAATTGTTCATATATTAAAACTTGGTTATATTTAACCAAAATACTATTAGACCTTCAAACATCTACTACTGAAAAAATATCATACTTACTTTTGTCATAAAAATGATATGAATAGTCCTTACTAATATTATAAACGCGAAAGTTTGTATGTATGCATGGAGGTCTGTTACTCTTTCACGCAAAAACTACTGAATAGATTTTAACAAATAATAAATTTTCCGCGAACGAAGCCGCGATTAACAGTAGTTATATATTAGTTATATATACGTAGTTTTGGTGAAAGGTTCAGCAGGAATTAAATGGAAGTAAAATTTACCAAGATGATAGATTACATTGCGCATTCACTCTGAACCCCATGGGCGGCCTTGCCCACAAAAAATGCTAGACTGATAGTGGAAACGAAAGCCGATAGGCAAATACCCGCCCCAAATCATGACCTAATATCGGGCAATTTATCACCGACAGACCTTTGTGCCCGTGTCATCAATCTTAAGCTTCCTCCGCACTCAACACTCCAACTAATTATTGACGATAGCGCCTTGACAGTTTACTTGCGGATTCCAACACTTTTTCTACTCTGGACACTGTGACGTATGGGTATGGCCACGAGATTTATATTGTATTAAATTTATTATGTTTATTACTATTACAGAAAAAAATAAAATAAGAAAATTTTAACATAGGGAGAGCCGTGATAGCTCAATGCCCGGGCGCTCGCCTTTAATTAAATGTACTCGAGAAATCTGACTTCCGGTGTAGGCACCAACGAAATAGTTAAATTTAAGTGCTGGCTTATGACGTACTCAGCGGTGAAGGAAAGTATTATAACGAAACGTCCATTTTTTTCAAAAAAATAAATAAAAATTAACATTTTAAATCGACCTTTGTAAATCGACATATGTACACTTGATATACTTCGAACGCAATGGTCAGGGGCATCCATAACTTTTCTCGTAAGCGCCTTCTCAAAGCCGTCAGACGCTCGCTTGTTCTTTTATTTTTCTACGAACGGTTAAATACTCAGACGCAGTAAGAGGCTCTTTGTTTATTTTTACAAAAAACCCTTTCATTGTACGCCGAGAACATTCAATGACATGCTTAATATTTTATTCATATGACATTAGCAATCGAAGTTATCTTCGTTGTATAATAGAAGCGATGGTTTTGCCGATGATGTAAATATATATCTGGGATGATAAATTATTTAAATTCTTATCGATTATGTACACGTATGATTTATTAACAAGTTTTTTGTCAAGTCCAATGGAAGTCTTTATAAATAACAATATAGTAATTAAATGAACATAAAAGTGATTTTCAGTCCGTTTGAACTTTAGATAAATTGAAACTCACTTTGCAACTTGTGAATACAATAATACATAAATATGTAGATGTGTCACAACCAGTTTGAATCTATAGGTAATCGACTTTGAAACCTTTGGGTATCATTGATAGTTAGTTATCTATTGATAGATATTACGAAAACTGTTACCTACACAAGCTGCCATGTTCAAAAAATAGAACTATTTCCCCACTTCGTTCCTTAGTAGTGTGAAAATAAGTTTTATTTTATTTTAAATAAGATATAAAAAGTTTAAAAAAAAAGTGGTATAACTCGATAGTAGGTATATATTCTCTCTATATATTTCGTTGTTGTGCAAGGTCAAAGTTCAAGCCACGTTTGGATAAAATAATAAGTGGCATACATACCTACATAACGTGTCTTTGGTCAATCTGATTAAAATATTAAAAAAAAGTTTATGCAGGAAACATTTTTTTATTTCTTTAATATTAATGCTTTTTTAAACTCATCCCTTACCCTGGAGCACATGGAAAACAAATAATTTAATTTGCAGAAATCGAGTATAGTGAATGAGTGTATAATTTTATTTTGCATGTACTATTTTCCAGTAAAATTCTAAACATAAATAAATAACATAAAAAATAAACATACGGTTCAAGCAATGATGGGGATGCAATCTATCCCAGTAATATCCTTAGAAAATTTCAGTATACCATTTTTACAACGACATATTGATATTTTTCGCATTAAAATAATTACTTAACGGCAAAAAATGAATTTACTGCATAAATTCATTCAAATACAATCATCGTAATGAGAATGGCCTTAATGTGTCGGAATCTTTTTTTTTTTGCCTGCGTGGGCGTGTGTATTTTTATAGGTACGTAAAGAGAATCGCGCTAATGTAATAAAATATAATAATATTTTTCAGTTGGGTCTACAGTACCACGCGTGCACGAACGGCGGCAAAGATGGGGCCATTTGCTTTATTACATTTACATCAAATGCCCGTTAAAGCTGCCGGCTGAACAAAATGTTGCATGACATTTTGCATGTACCCAAATTACTACACTACATCATCTGCTATACATAGCATTACTTTAATGTTTTGAACACCGTACCTGACGGAACAATTTCATCAATTCAAATGACAGGAAATGAAGTCCATTTGTAAATTAATTTTACACAACAATAACAGAGGTTGTATATAATTTTTTCCAAGTATCCATTTGTTGTAAGATTTGTTTTTATTATCGTTTTTCTTATAGTTATACGTTTTTATTTCTTGATTAGTCGATTGATAATATAACGAAAGATAACAATTTCTCCGCAATTAGTATCAAAAACAAAAATTTCTTTGATGGACGCCCCTAATATTGAAACCCGCTAGGCGACGTAACAGTAAAGTGTTAAGCACTTGATTAAATCTGTGAAGCACTGAGAGTGCCAATCAAACTCTACAAACGAAACTGAAACGCTATTTCAAGTTTAAATATAAAGTGTAAGTTGAATGTAAACATCTCTTGAAACGCCGATTTGAATACGCTCAAATAAAATACAATTTTCCGAGAAATCAAAGCTCATTGCAGGTTAAATTTTATACAAAAGTTCATAATATCAAATATTATTTTACAATTCATATTTATTAGTTGCCACTTTTTAGTTGTTTTATTCAATAAAATCTGCTAAATATTGAGTAACAAATACTTTAATAACGATTTTAGTAGCTATTTTACTGGTTGATAAATTTGGACATGTATGTACACATACGTATAGTTCAAAAGACTTATAAAAGTAGCGAATGAACATTCACCACTGCCTTTAAATATATTGTTGGAGTTAGCACTTACAAGTGCAAATATAAATTGAAAAATCCACGGCCCTCAAATCCCCTGAGAATGATGGTTTGCACGTACCACACGCTTCATGTTCCGCGGACACAATGGACATTTTACTCCAGTTTATTTAAATATAGGTACCATATAAATATTTTGACGGATAAGAATGAATGATAGACACGTGAAACTTATTTAAAAAAAAAATTATATATGAAATTCCGTTTCATTCCTACAAATTTTACTCGTATATTTATATTATTTCATTACTATCAATTCTAATAGCATGATATTACACACTGGTGATGTAAATTTTTTTTTGATTACTAAACAGATACTTTATTTTTTTTAAAAAGTTATTTACGAGAAGAAATTCAGGATAGTTTTTATAAATATAAATAATTGTTGATTCGTAATTTTTAAAACAGAATAAGTGTCTGTCTATGTCTAGACAATAGATCGAATTAAAATGGAATAGTATTGACAAATGATTTTTTACTGCTTGTTCATAATATGTGTATTATTGCAATAATTATGTCGTGTTGTTATTGTTTTTATAAGCGAAGTATTTTATATTATATACTTTATAAATTTGATTTTTCAATGATAGGTTCTTTCCTCTGGATAACTCCAAGATTGAATGATAGATAATGCTGATGGCATTAAGTCCGCCATTGTACATATTTTGTGTGCATAAAGAATAAATAAACAATATTTTAGTGCAATATTTTATTCATACTGAATATTTCAGTTGCTACGTAACCGTATGTAAGGCGTAGTACCTCAAAACAGATGAAAATGATCGTATTCTTAATGTCTGTACAATATTTATGAATAAATTTATTTTTAACATACTCTCTGCTATGTAGATACAAAAAGAAAATTTTAATTCTTGCAGATATCGCGTTACCCAGAAGAAAGAAGTTTAATAGTTATTTAAACTATCACTGCTACATTAATATTTCACCATTATCTATTATAAAAGTAGCACCAGTTATACTAGAAGCGCGGTCGCTAGCTAGATAAAGGATAAGGTCAGCTACTTCTTCACTAAGTGCCATTTTACGAAGTGGAAAAATTTTTTCTCGACTTTCGTATAACTTCTGAGTTTGCTCCATGCTGAATCCAGCAGTTTCTGCAAAATTAGTCTTCGTACCACCCGGGTTCACTGAATTAACACGGACACCTTCTGGCCCCAGTTCTAAAGCAACACATCTAGTGAATTGATCAAGTGCAGCTTTCGACATGCAGTAGGGCAAGAATTGAACATCTTTTATCGGTTTGAAAGCAGCGACGCTGGAAATATTGACGACATTTCCTTTTGATTGGATGAGATATGGTGTGGCTAGGCTTGTCAGCAAGTAAGCTGATCGGACATTAGTGGCCATAGCGCGATCGAGTTTTTCCACACCATCACGAATGCCACCTCGAACTCCAACACCTGCATTGTTTACAAGAACATCTATACGACCAAATCGCTCTATTGTTTTTGACACTATCCCTTTCACATCGTCGTCATCTGTTAGCTCTGCTTTGATAACTAGCGGTGCAATGCCTTTGGCTTCCTCACATTTCTTTGAAATGTTTATCAAAGACCCTTCATTTCTTCCGACTAACACAACTGTTGCCGAATGTTTAGCGAAGAAAATTGCTGCATCAGCTCCAATGCCTGCACTTGCACCGGTTATAATGACTACTTTGTTATTGAAATCCATCGCGCACTGTGTCACAATCGTAACTGATAATGAACAAAACATTTAAAGCTAAATTACTTGGCGGAAGTGTTGTACATGACCTTGTGAAACTCGTTTAAAACATTTGTTCATTTGTTTTCCTACTATTGGTTTAATAGAGTTTTTCATTAAATTACAACTGGAGCGTACAACGTGACATTGAAGAGCAGACTAAAAATATTTGTAGACAACTTAAGTATTTAATTATATGCAACTTTTAATTTACGCACCTACTAATTACACGAAATCTTGCTACCGCCAAATATACATTGCACTTTTTATACTAGATCAACCACTCGTGCCCTTGAGGGGGGCCGGGGGCTCTTACAGATTCACCGGGCTCGAGGTGGCCAGGCACAGAACGCTTCTATCATTGCCGGGAGAAAACCTGCCAGGTATGTGGTGGAACGTAATTGCTTTTTCGATGGCCATAGTTGTCTCATCGCCAGGGAAATCTAGTATGTGTCTCTGTCCAAACCATTTGCGGCGGAAATCTAATACCTAGCGGTAGAGATCTGTAATTGTGTGATCGGTGACTAACGGATTGGGATGTGCGGCAGCGGACTCGTAGCCAGTGGTATTTCCTTTCTTCTCAATGTGCGCGAAAACCGCTAAACTCGCGTACGTCATTATAGGGCGAACTACTGCATTAAAGTCATGTCGTTAAATTAGTCGCATTGCACTTTGAAAAATTTGTCGTGTAGTTACATTTCATGGTACTGTTATACGACATTCGTACTATCTACTGTTAATTTTACTACCTCTAAGTCCTGCGTAAAGGAGCGCGAGCAATATGTTGATAAAATATCAATGGGATGAACAGTATGACAGCTTATAAATTACAAAAAAACAAACCTTGGTCATTATACATATACACTAAGCCGCAAAAATACATAAGAGTCGTTAAATAACTGTGATAGATTGTTAAATATCCAAAATGTTTAACTGTCTTATGTTGTAGATGACTTTTAAAACGTAAAAGAACGCACATAAACATTTTCACACCATTTACTTTTAAATTATGGTTCTTATCTTTAACTGAAGATTTGTTTAGGTTAATTATCAGCTTATTTCCTTTTTGACAAAAAGCGTCTTACTAACTATCATAGATCCCATTGATTTGAAATTTGGTGTTCGGTTAGCTACATGGTGATTCCAACTAATGCTTACATCGAGGTGATACGGAATCATCAAAGTCAATTCGTCGGAAACTTACAGCAGATAGGATTTGGGCTCATAAAAATATTCCCAATGTGAAGGTATTAAGGATGAATTATGATTATGGCCACATGGTTAACGTAGAGATGCAAGCAAGCATGTTATATGCAGAAGCATAGCTCCGGCGTAGAACACATAGAATTTTTATTTGTATGGTAGGGTTAGTCATTTCTGAAAACAATCTGCATTCGGATCCACCATTCGACAAAATCTGGTTTGGTCAATTATTCAAAGTAAGGTTTCTCTAATAAAATAAAATATTAATATGTAATTACTATATACCTATATTAAATATTAACTGTCTATATTAAAACATATGCCCATACCCATCATAAGCCAACGAAGTTTTTATTTCATTACTAATTATCTTGGTGCGAAGCAATGTTGTAAGTGTTTTGTTTTTATTTCGTATGCAGTATAGGATCCGCCACTTACTGGTCACATAAAAATTGAAAATCCGAATGTTCCAAATCCCATGAGGGTGTCAATCCACACGTTTCTGCGCCGTATTTAATCAGACATCGCTTATAAAGTCAATACAATTCACATTATTTCGTTGTATCATTAAATGTCATTTTGTCGTTTCTAAATTTTAGGTGAGAAAAAATTAAGGAATTACAATAAAATCAGAACAATAACTATAATGGTTTATATATTTATTAACTATATTTATTTATTACTATTTTTTTTAAACCACATTTTTTGTTTGATTTTCACAACGAAAAAATTTTTATTCTAGCTAAATAAAGATTGGACCTGTTAATCCCACAAATAATCTGTTGTAATTTTTGCAACGAAAGTACTCTATGTACTAAAAGTACTGTTTACTTAAAGTGGAGAATATTTTTTTTTAAATTTCTACCTTAATATGTTAGCCTAAAGTCGGGAACTAAATTTATGTGTGTTATATGAGAACAAAGCTACATCATCCGTTTCAATATTCTTGCGCACGTTGTATATAGACCTCATTTGATTACACCGTACTTTGTAGTTTCTTTCGCACACTAATATATTTTCTGCACACAAAATAAGGAGTTACGGTTACGTAAACAAGGACTATATTACTATAGCTTATTTATAGGTTCAAGCATGGACCTGTTTATGGGAGACGTTATTTTCAATTAAGTTCCGTTCATAAGTTCTTGTTTTATAAAATTCTATTTATACGGATATATGACTTTTTATCGTGGCATACAAATACTTGTCATTTATTGAAATTGCTTATGTCTACTGACTGCGTAAAATCTTAAAAAATTTCATTGGAAAACTAAAAAATTAAAAAACTTCACGGGAATAAGCATGAATATCCTTTACAAAAAAAACTGAAGTGGTTTTTGTACATAAATGAACAAATGCTTCCAGCGCCGCAGAATTCGAATCAGCTTTGTTCGGTTTCACGCCCCGACTCTTCGCCAACTATTGCCATTGATCTCACGGCACGAGAATCTCGCATTTATCTACGTTCTTAATTGAAATTTTATATCCGTCAATATGATTTGGCGAAAATAAAATGGTGGGGAAATTACTTGCGTGGATTGGAATAAAAATAAACAAAATAATTGACGGTAGCCTATGACATCAAGACGTATAATATAAATAATATAAACTGCCGCCAATTTTTTATTTTATTTTTCAGGCAAAAAATCAAGAAAAACAAATAATACCCCACACGATAATAAATATATAATAATTTTACATAAGAATTAGTACATTATATATACATTAATATACAACTGTTAGATATTAATTTAATTTGAATTGTTATCCCTTCAACATTAGGCTCAAATATTATAGGGCAGCATTGTCATAGGAAATACGCATAACGATACATCTATCTAATCAGTGCAAACCTTTAACTAAATAATAAAAATATTTTTTTAAATAAAGTCAATGTCATTTCCAATTCTATTGTGTTACATAACTGTTATGATAATTTAATTAATATGTTTTAGCAAGTAAATTGACATTTATATTTCATATAGAGTATAGGTAGACCCAGAATTTTTATACAAAAAATATTCGTGGATGATTAACAATAACAATATCATGGACAAATTTTTTCTAAAAATGTAAACGCTTTCTTCTTATATATCTTCTCAATACTTTTAGAGATTTTTTCGAACGTTTAAACTTTTTTTACATTAACTATTTTATTGTAGCCAATTCTATACGATAAATTAAAGTTTTATGTCAGAGCTTCACCGTTATCGATTACGAAAATTGATCCAGTGATACTGGAAGCACGATCGCTTGCTAGATATAGAATAAGATCGGCGACCTCTTCAGTTCTAGCTGTTTTACGGAGGGGAATGTTTTCGTCCCGACATTGGTATAACTTCTCCGCTTGTTCTTTTGTAAATCCAGAAGATTTCATAAAGTTTGTTTTTGTACAACCAGGATTAACAGAATTAACACGAACACCGTCTTTTCCTAATTCTAGAGCCAGAACTTTAGTGAACTGATCTAACGCGGCTTTCGATACAGAGTAAGGTAAAAATGACATGTCCTTAATGGGTTTAAAAGCCGCGATACTAGAGACATTAATGACATTCCCTCTTGACTTCACAAGAAACGGTGTTGCTAAACTTGTCAATAGATAGGCTGATCGAACATTGGTATTCATAGCACGGTCAAATGGATCAACGCCATCACGGATACCACCTCTAAATCCAACACCTGCATTGTTCACTAGAATATCGATGCGTCCAAACTTGACCGAAGTCTTCGTAATTATATCCTTCACATCTTGATCATTAGTTAATTCTGCTTTGACTATCAGTGGTTCTATGCCCTTTGCATCTTCACATTTCTTTGCTATATCTGTCAAAGAAGTTTCGTTTCTTCCAACTAAAACTACTCGAGCAGATTGTTGTGCGAACAAAACGGCTGTGTCTGCGCCAATACCTGAACTCGCACCGGTTATAATGACAACTTTATCTTTAAAGTCCATCGCTCTCGATGTCTAAATGAAGACTGACGAGATAATCCATTTTAATCTATGTCGTCGACATTGGATGGCTTTAAAAAATGCTTAACCTCCATTGACAAGGCATTAATAATGAGTAATCAATTCAATTCTACAATCTCTAATGAGAGATTGTGGAACTGAATTGATTATTTTTTTTTTTTGTTTAGATAGATACTCTCAGATAGTAAGTAATGTATGTACATAAAAATATTTATACAAAAATTTTATACTGATGTAGTTTATTTGTGTTTTAATCAAATGATGTTGTATAACAAGTATAATTTTTAACAAAAAAAACCGACTTCAATGAGAAAATTAAAAACATTGTTAATACCTATAACAATCAATGGTGACCCTCGATTTCTCTGGGATACCATCATCAGATCCGAGTTTCCTTATCATTGAATTTTTTTTTCTATCGGCTCAATTTCTCTGAAATTTGTCTATGTATTAAACTATTTCGTCGGCTGCGAAACATTTTAATACATAGACAAATTTCATCAAAAATTAATTAGTTTGCATGTCTTTCTTTGCCTAAAAAAATATTATAAATTCTAATTATTCTAAAATTAACCAAGTGTCCATGGTCTTCGTTTTCCTCCTTTTCCATAAAAACCACTACTTTTATACCTTACAAGGTGAACAGATAGCGCTGTACACTTTGCCAAGGTTACCATGACGCAAAACATGATAGATTTCAAGCCTCAGATTAAACGTTCGACCACAAACTGCGATAGAACAATAATATTGATGACGACCTAGTAATTATCTTGGACGGTGTTATCAATATACTGTG